CCGCGCGCCGCGCCTGCGCACCGCGTCCCGCCGGCGCCCGAGGAGCGCCCCGACCGCCCCGGCATGAGGAGGATGGCGGCCTCGCCCCCGCTCGCCGCCATTCGCTGCAGCAGCGCTCCTCCCGACGTCTCGCGGTGCGGCTCCCGGTTGGAGCCGTCGGCCACGCTGCTCCTCGCTGCCGAGGGGAAGTTCCGGTAGCGCGAGCCGGCGGAGCGCGACCGCAGCCTCTGGGTGCTGGGCTGAGGCGGGCGGAAAGGGGCGTCGGGGCGTCGGGGCGTCGGGGCGGGGAACGCCGCGCTCCGGGCCGTGGGCGCTTCGCCTTCGTTTCAGCGTGAAGTGGCGGCGTTCCTCACAGCGCTGCGCGGCACGGAGCTGACGGCGCGCCGCGAGGAAAAGCTTTGGGGTGGCGGCCGGGCAGCGCTGCGCGCCGTGCTGTGCGCGGGCAGGTGGGCGCTGCGCGCATTTGCGGCGCCTGATCGTGAGATGTTTCCTTTACCGAAGGTCACGAGAGCGCGTGTAATGATAAACATTTGAGCTGTGGGGTCACAGGAGCTCAGGAGCCAAATGTTTGGAGCAAACATGTAAGTTTCTTCCCTTGTTTTGTTGTCCTGCCCCTGCCAGCGCCTGGCCTCACCTGTGTTCGTACGCTGAGGCCTTTACTCCTCTGTGTGCTTTGCATTGCTCTGAAGCAGGCTCCCCTTTGGCTCACTGCCACTCTGGGCCATCTCTGGGCCACGTTCAGTCACGTCTGTCTGTAGACAGTTGGGCGATCTCACACGCTGTAGACCTCTGCACGTGCTCTCACTGTGAGAAGAGCTGGAAGAACCAGTAAAAAGGGGAAAGAACCCTGGCTGATACTGCAGGGAGCAGGAGGACACAGACAGCAAGTGAATGCACTTCACAGAGTGCAAATTAATGCAGAGAGAACAGAGCCCAGGACAGGTGAGGAGGCAGAGGCAGTCACTGCAACCCTCATCTAGCATCTTATCTTAACCACGAGTACTGAATTAATAAACAAGGGCTTGGAAAACTCAGCCCCAGTCAGGCCTGTCTCTGATCTGCCTCTTCAGGACACAGTCACTTCACTTACCTGCATCTTTAACGCCACGGTCTGGGTGAGCAATTCTTGTACAGCTCAACAGAGCCATTCTGCTGAGCATCCAGCTCTGCACAGAATTCGTCGTCTGAGCATACTAGTCAGGAGCAGAAGCTGCAGAGCAGATCTTTTTCATTTTCTAAAGGACAGCGTGCTATGAAAAAAAACCCAACAGTTTAATAGTTCAGCGGGAGTTTCTTAAACACAGAGTTAGTCATGTAGTCATCACTATAATACCATCATTTGACTGTACCTTGAGATGCAGCTGTCGAACTTCATCGTTGCGTTGAGCAGCAAAGTTGTACTTGTTTGAACAAGTTACATCATGGGAGACTTTATTCTACGTTCTCTACCCACACAACCCTGCGATTTATTTTCACCTGAGAACTTGTTAATAATACCAGCGAAGAAGCTAATGTTCCAAGATGTTTAGGATTCACACACAAATCTTAAATTCTACTGGCAGAAACAGAGCATCACTGCTTTGATAGGGAATAGTCAGTAGCACTCTTCACAGCAAGAAGAGTTTTAGTTCTTAGTTCCATGGCACTGTGCCTGAGCATGATATACTTACTCAGGTTAATGTGTTTTCTGCCTACTTTATCAATCCAGATGGACTTAAAGGGAGGAAAGCAAAATAAGCATTTGATGATCACAGAAGTGAACAACTTGCAGTAGAACTCAGTGCTCTGGTAGGATGCTAAAGAGCAGACTTACAACATTTCATGCAATGGGTGTTTCTTAGATGTAGCAGTTTGCCCGTGACAGCATTTGGTCACTTTAACTAATGGCTCTGAGCCACCCTGGGGTCAGCAAAGTGGGGCAAAGTCCAGGACATCTCTCCCCTGTACCTCGAAGCAGTGCACTGTGATAAAAAGAACGGCCACTTTGCTTTTATCTGCTGTGCTTCCTTAAACCAGCTGCACACAGCTGTGAAGCAGCCTGAGATGAGGCTGATCCTCACAGTGATGTTACCGTTCAGAGGTGTCAGATTCAGCTCAGTATATGTGCCAAAGTTGCCCTCAGTGCTGGCACCCCACCAGCTTCTGAAAAGGGCTTTCAGTTGTTACACCCGTGAATTTTTGTTGTTTTTTAGTGTTCACAAGAAAGTCTGACATCGTTACAGAGAACTGCAATTTTTTATGAAATATCTGGGCTGTTTGAAGTGTGAATATTGAAAAGACTTGTTATCCCAGTCAGAGGTATTTGGAAATTTTTATGCTGGCCAGAGACAACTTAGTATTTAGGAATTATCTACTCTCACTACAGGTCAGTCTTATTCAGGGGTTTACAGCAGTTTAAACAATTGCAGTTTTCCTTTTTGTACAGTTTTACCCTTATTTACCTCTAGAACAAAATTTGTACACTTTCATCAAAGAAGTTCCGAATTTAGACTTTTTTTTTCTTTGTCAAATATTCTGGCACATTGGTGCCAGCTGGGCAGGGATTCTGAAGCTATTTCCCAATAGAGAAGTGGTTGCTCTGAGGATGCCACTTTTTTCCCTTGTGTAGAGTTGTTCAACTGCATAAAGGCTGAGCTAAAATAACTCCCCTTTCATTCTGTACCACAAGTAACAGGGAAGGTCAACTGTCCAAAAGAAGAATGTCAGCATTTTTAGCAGCAGTCGCTCAGCACGGCTGCAGAAAATACCTCTCTTAGGGCTCCTCTTTACACACAGTGCTGCTATTTCTGATACAGATTAATGAACATCTCCTCTAAAGTAAAGAAAATGTACTACTATAGAAGACACTCAACTAATTATGATTCATAAAGGCAGCATATAAGTACTTACACATTTTTAGTGGAAAAGTATCCCCATAAAAGGGAAATATTTCTTTTTTGTCATAAAGGTTGCCTTACAGTTGAAACTTGAAGCTTTTAAGCGAGAAAAGCCCAAATAGACAAATTATACTGATGTGTTCTTTAAAGGCCAAGCAGCTGTTTTATTAAAATACTGAATTTACATTAAAAAGTCTGAGTCTTTCAATTATAATAACCTTACTGAAGTGACATGAAATCCATGACAAGGAGCTTGCTTTATTCTGTCCACATTCTGTCCTCAGTTATCCACAGACACTTCTGCTACTATTCAAAACTGCAAGTTCACACCCACGTAGAAGCACATTTGTCTGGAAAGACAAATCCCAAGGCAATTGGTTCTCATTTTCCCTAGGACAAACAGCTTTTCAACTCTCAGTTTCAAACCCATCCAAATCTGTATCCCAAGAAACAGGAAAAGGATTTCAGGATATACCAACTCCCGTAAGTGAATGACCTTCAAACAACTTGAAGCAGGTTGAATTTACATTTTACTTCAAAAAAAGGCAAAGTACATACATGAGGAGCAGATGGGAGGAACAACAGTTACCTGAAACCAGGCTTCTACCATTTCTGCCTAAGCTTACCAGCTGTGTCTGAGTCAGCAGGGCTCTGCCCGCCCTGCCACACTTGCTGACCGCAGGAAAAGGACTGTTTGTATCGAGGGAACATTTTCAAAGGTGAGGCCCGAGTGGAAAGAGTAAGATATCATACACAGTGTAAGTTTATAGTACACAGCTTTGTTTTTAAATGACATAACGCAACAGCAGGAAGGAGAAGTAGTAGTTAACAATTACTAACACTAGAATAGTTAAATCTGTATGTTATACATATACAGCAACTAACTGCTTTACAAAAAAAGCAAAATAATACAATATATTGTCACATGTATTTACAGTGTAGTAAATATACTTTTCTGTCAAATTTTACACAAAAAATATTTACAGGTGAATATACTGCATTAAAAAAAATGGTGGGACCAACACTAAAAGTGACTTTCTGTGGTAAGTTTGTTGCATAACAGTAAGACGTGCTTCATTACATTTGTAAAAATTAAACTTAGGATGAAACAGAAGAAGCCCTAAAACCTACAACCCATTTAGGAAGAGAGCACTGGAATGCTCCCAAGTGCTCGGTCCACAATACTTATTTGAAAGGTTTCCTATTCCTGGAAACTTCATGCACATTAAAGCAGAAACATTGGCATAATTAACAGGTAGGTTATGTACTATTCAAATACTACTGAATTATCTTTAAGTCAGGGAAAATACAAACACAAAATGTTAATCATCTTTACAGTACTTAACTGTAGTTAGTACGTAATGGATAGCGTGTTCTGAAACAGGGGTGTCAAACACACAGTCCCCATAGTGTCGCTACGTGGTCCACGTGTTACAATCAGATTTTTCTGAACTTCATTCTGAAGTTTTCATTCTGAAGTACACAGACTGCATGGCTGCAGAGCTGATCCTCAGACCATGGGGAGGGCAGCCTGTGCGGTGCTGAGCGCCGCCTGAAGCAGTGACTGGAAGGTCTGCACCTGGGAGTCTCCCACTTACATCAGGTTTCAAGCCTGATCTTGAAGCACTGTCACCAGCAACTGACTGCTGATCACTAGCATCAATGGAATGACAGGATGAGGAGGGGGACAGAGGCTGGATTAGAAATGGAGAGCGGTGCTCACAGGAATGAAACAGAGCAGGACACAGAATATGCACAACAGGAAAAGGGAGCAAATAAGGAAGGATGTGAGAAAGAAAACAAAAAAGTGAAGCAATAGCAACGGCTATTACAGGGAGCAGGTTTTCATGGTGATGGATGACAGTAAGGCACTGACCAACCATATACTAATCAAAGTTTACGAATGAAAGGAAGGCGTTTTCCCCCTTGATCTAAGCACAAACGTCCTAAACCCTGGTGCTGCTGTGTACCAGGGCAAACACAGCCCTGAATTACATCTTTGCTGTAGACTGTGGCCACCTAGAGTACTGCATTCATGTCTGGGCTCCCCGAAGGCAGATACAGACCTGCTGGAGCAAGTCCAGAAGAGGCCAGGAGGATGCTCAGAGGGCTGAAGCAACTCTCCTATGGAGACAGGCTGAGGGAGTTGGGCTGTTCAGCCTGGAGAAGGCTCTGGAAGACCTCAACTGCGGTCCTCGGGGGCTGCAGGAAAGGGCTGTCAGGGAGCGCGAGGGCTTCAAACTAAAAGGACTTAGAGCAGGTAAAAGGAAAAAATTGCTCACGGTGAGGGTGGTGAGGCCTTGGCACAGGCTGCCCGGAGCAGCTGGGGGTGCTCTGTGCCTGGAGGTGCTGCAGGCAGGGCTGGTGGGCCCTGGGCAGCCTGTGCTGCTGGGAGGTGCTGGCAGAGGCTGCAACGTGAGCTTTAAGGCCCCTTCTGTCCAAACCTTTCCACAGTTCTGTGTCTACAGTTACACTCAAGTTCGGCTCTTTTTTCCTAAAATGTTTGACACCCCTGCTCCGACAGTTCGGGTCACCTCACTGAACTACAGAGTGAAAACGTTCAATGACTCCTTGCCAAGAAATAGAACAAATTAAATTTTGCCAACTTGCTTTATCAATGTATCATTTGTTTCAGTCAGGACTGAGAGCTTACAGTAGTTCTGGTTCTCACTGAAAAGGTAATTTTGGTTTCACCATACTCACAGCTGTAAGAATGCATCAGTTCTTATTTCATGATGCATTTTCTATTGAGGCAATGCAAAATATTAGAAGAGTTGCTCTCAAATGCACTCAGTCCAAACAGAGCAGAGCTGGCAGTTCATCTGGAATTATTTTTAAAGAAAATTTTCTCACAGAGAAACAACTGAACATTATCTTTTTGTATCAGTAAATCACAAGAGATTCTTTTTTCCTCCCACCTATGGAGGGAATAACTCTAAAGGCTTCTACAATTCATTGTCTTCAGCAAAACAGAAAGGGCTGGAAGTAGCTTGGTTCAGTATAATCAGGTGCAAACCGACAGCGATACCGAAGCTATGAGCAATTTGATGTACGAGATGAAAAAGGTTTTTAAATCAATGACTCCCAAAATTACAAATGCATAGCAGCTGAAAAACACGGCACAAGTCACTGCTCTGTTCCTTAATTTAAGTCTAGCCTTGTAACCCTTCAACAGACCTAACAGTTCAGGGATCATGATTCCACTGCAGCTCCTACACAGTCAAGAGTAAAAAAATGTGGTTAATTGCACAAGTCTTCATATTTTCCAACGATTCTATTTCAAGATTGCTAATTCTACATTTTCATCCTGTTTTGGCAAACTATTTGCATATTAAGCTTGTGTTCATAGTTCTTCCAGGACTGTAAACAAATTAGAAGAATTGTTATTTTATGAATCAATACAATAAAGGCATTTATTTACATAAATGTTACATTGTTACTGTGTGGATACACGTGAATTATGTGCTATATCAATAAAATCTGAACACTTACAATTGTACCATTCTCTAATAATTTAGCTGTGGAGTTTGATTTACTGAAAGCCACTAACAAAATTGCACTAGAGGATTTCATTTTTTTCATATAGAGGATATACTTTTCTTCCCCCCTTCTAAAGCCATTTATAAGCTGTTAACTTCTAACATACAACAGAGATCTGAATCTAGGAAGTTTAACTGTTCTTTAGCAGTAGATTTGCTTAGCCCTACAACGAGCTGTCAGGCCTTTGTCAGAATGCCCATCCACCTCAGATCCAACGCTCTGTGCATCTTCAGTCCGTGCAGGTCATGTCTGTAGCACACAGCGCTACATCTTTACACGTCATGCAACATAGCAGCATATTATCACAGTCCCCATTGCTAATGCACTACCGTGGCTGGCAAGTCTTTCACAGTGATAGCAATTTCAGTTTCATATAACCCCCAAGTAGGAGCCCTTACAAACTAAAACCCCTTGAAAGTTCTGCAAGAGAAGTTTGATTGCAAATGTCTGCACTGATAGCAGAAATTGCACTGCAAACATTCAAACGTAACCTGGATTTGACAAAGCGTCACTTACTTTTAAATTTGTGTACCTTGAGCAAACATTTTTATATCACTGCTTGGACGGCACAAAAGCAGTTTTGCCAAACAACCTCCCAGAGCTGAAAGTTAATCAATAAAGTTTTCCCCTCTGTATCCCAACAGTTTATCTGCCAAGAATTTCTTTTAAGTGTGTATTGTTAGAAGGGCAAAACTAAAGCATACATTAAATGGAAGAAAGAAGCAATAAATTTTAAACACTGCTATAGTGACACCATAATAGTCAGTTCTTGACAGTTTTCTTAGAATCACAGAATCTCAAGGTTGGAAATGACCTGCAAGATCATCCAGTCCAGCCATCCTCCCATCACCACTGCTACCACAAGCACTAAACCACATCTCACAGCTCCTCGTCCAGACGCCTCTTGAACGCTGCCCGGGACGGCGACTGCACCACCTCCCTGTGCAGCCATTGCAGTGCCTGACCACTCTGTGAGAGAAAAAGTTCTTTATGTCCAACCTAAACCTCCTCTGGTACAACTTGTGGCCATTTCCTTGGGTCCTGTTTGTTTCCTGGG